AACCGCGTCGTGGCGAACAAACACGTGTGATGTCTTCTGTAAACTGGGGTGGACGAAAACATCAGTCGTTTGCGGTCTAATCGGAGAAGGCCTAACTGAACGCATTGCGTTTGTAAGCCTAGTCACGTAAGATGCCCTGTCGGAAACACGTTTGAAAGTTGAAGGGGAAACAAACTCACCTGGTAGGCGAAGAGTGGTCCCATAGACGAGTTCTGCAGGAGTGCATCCAGCATCAACTTTCAACGCGTTACGAATACCTAGTAGGACTAGAGGCAGAGCCTCGGTCCACTGAGGTATGTTTGTAGCTGAAAGGGAAGCTTTCAGCTGTCGATGGAAACGCTCTACCATGCCATTTGCTTGTGGATGGTAGGCTGTCGTTCGGAACCGAGTGCAACCTAAAAGTGCCGTTAGAGCGTGAAATAATCCACACTCAAATTGGCGCCCACGGTCGGTTGTGACGTGAGATGGACATCCGAAGTTCGCGATCCATCTTTCGACGAAAACACGAGCAACTGTTTCGGCAGTAATATCCTTATTAGGTACTGCTTCCGGCCATCGTGTGAAACGATCAACACAAGTGAAAAGGTAGGTACATCCATTAGATTCTGGTAGGGGTCCTACAATATCTATATGGACGTGGTCGAAACGCATGTCTGGGGCTAGAAATGAGCCTAAAGGGCTTTTCGTGTGTCGCGTGACTTTACACTTTTGACAAGCTAAGCACGACTGGGCCCACTCCTTAACGTCTTTGTTCATCCCAGGCCAGCAGAAACGTTGTGCGATAAGCCTAATGGTGGCTCGTACACCTGGATGAGAGAGTTTGTGCAACGTATTGAAGACGTTGCGTCGACAACTCTTCGGAACTATTGGGCGTGGTTGACTAGCAGAGACATCGCACAAAATTGTATCCTTGTCTGATCCAACAGGACAAAGTCGCAGTTTGAGAGTTGTGGACGACAACTCATGATGCAGCTCAAGGTCTTCCTTTTGACGCCGAGCTAGTTCAACGAGATCAATACCCTCGATATAGTTTATCGAAGCTATTCGAGATAGTGCGTCGGCTGCGGAGTTGTTTGCTCCAGAAATGTGGCGGATGTCTGACGTGAACTGGGAAATGTAATCCAGCTGTCGCGACTCACGAGGGGAGTATTTGTCAGACGCCGAGCTGAGGGAAAACGTTAACGGTTTGTGGTCTGTGAAAATAATGAAATCACGACCTTCCACAGAATGTCGAAAATGGCGTACAGAACAGTACATGGCTAGGAGTTCCCTACCAAATGTACTGTATCTTGTTTCCGCGTCTTGCAGCCGCCTCGAGAAAAAGGCTAACGGTTGCCACTGGTTGTCAGTCAACTGTTGCAAAACTGCTCCAATTGCTGAATCAGATGCATCAACAGCAATACTCAAAGGAGCATTGGGGTCATGATGCATAAGCATGGTTGCGTTCGAAATGGCTTCCTTGACTTTAGAGAAAGCAAGTCTAGCTACGTTGTCCAGAGACACGAACTTCGCAGTTCCTCGAAGTAGATCTGTTAGTGGTCTCATGACAGAGGCACAGTTAGGGATAAACCTTCGGTAATAACTTACCAGGCCATTGAAAGTGCGGAGATGTTTCACAGTGGTCGGCTCTGGATAGTTTGTGATAGCCGCCACTTTATCTCTCAATGGGCGTATACCTTTGTTGTCAATGGTATGCCCAAGGAAGCTGAGTGATTCAACTCCTATTTCACACTTCTGTAAGTTAACTGTGATGCCATGTTTTTTAAGTCTTTCGAATGCGAGGTCCAAATGTTTAAGGTGAGTTTCCTTATCTGGACTCGCAATTAGACAGTCATCGATGTAGACATGAACAAAATTCAAACCACGGAAGACATCATCCATAAAGCGTTGGAATGTTTGTGCTGCATTCCGAAGACCAAAAGGCATGCGCAGGAATTCAAACAGGCCAAAAGGAGTAATAATGGCTGTTTTCGCGATATCTTCTGCTGCCATAGGTATCTGGTTGTACGCTTTGACCAAGTCGATTTTGGAGAAAATGTTCATTCCGCATAAGGTTGCGGTCAAGTCGTAAACGTGAGGTATAGGGTAGCAGTCCGGAGTTGTTTTGGCGTTAAGCCTTCGGTAATCACCGGTCGGACGCCAGTCGTTGCTATCCTTTTTGGGAACCATGTGCAATGGCGATGCCCAAGGACTGTTTGACGGTCTGATAATGCCCAGGTCGAGCATGTGGTCGAATTCATTTTTCGCCGTTTGGAGCTTATCGGGGGCTAGACGGGGCGCTTTGGATGCCACAGGTGGACCTGTGGTTGTGACGTGATGCATAACATTGCTGGTTATGCACGGAAGAGTGTGCTTCGGTTGCTGCAACTCTGGATATTTCTCCAAAACTGCTTGGTAGGACGCGTCGCCTGATTGTTTGGCTCTAACGATGGCTAAACTCGGACCTACATAGGTGGTGCCGCCAATAGATAACTTTGTGTTATCTATCAGTCGTCGACGGCGAGCATCTACGAGTAGATCGTAATGGTTTAGCAAATCTATGCCAATGATGGGCATAGAAACGTCAGCAAGGAGGAAGATCCAGTGGATAGGTTTGCGTAAACCTAAGTTGAGGTAGGCATACTGTCTCCCGAATGTCGCGATTGCCTTACCGTTGGCTGCTTGAAGAGTGAAGGATGGCTCGTGATGACGCCCCTTTGTCGTTGCGGGAAGAACGCTAACTTCCGCACCGGTGTCGACGAGGTAGCGAACTTTCGTTTTTATGTCGGTGACGTAAAGCAAACGGCTGTTTCCGCCGGCTACGGTTGCCGTGAGCACGTGCCGGCGTGACCGTTTCCCGAGTTTATGTCCTTCTTAAAACGGCATGGTTTACGACATTTTCTGGCTTCATCCCCGTAAGTGTTATGAAACCAGCACCATTCGGGGTTCTCCACCCTGTTAGGTTTAGTCTTGGGGCTACCATGTGAGTTGCTGAGATGCATTAAGACGCGTTTCTGTGGAGTTCTGCGTGAACTGGTACTTCGAGATCGTAGCTGCTGTTTAAAAGAGTTGCATGGCCTGGTCACCTCTGAATCCCGGCTCAATGGATTGTCGCAGACAGAATATACGTTATAGACGGTTCTGCTAGAAATCTCCAGCATTTTATCTGCCAAGGCTGCCAGGTCATCGAGTGGGACTGACCGCAGTGTCACCAACACGGTTTACACAGGTTGTGGTGGTTTCGAGAGAAACAGTTCTCGGAAGAAACCATTGTCGAATGTTCGTGCACCCATAACTTCTCGCATTCGTGTGAGGACTTCAGTAGCTGAGTGGCTGCCTAGCTCGATGTTACGAATTAATTCGTCTAGGCGCTGGCGATCTGTCAGATCGCCTTTCTTCAAGAGTGCTGCCCTAAGAAGCGCATAAGGATCACTTACTTCAGGATTAAACATGTTTGCTGTAACATACCTGTTTAATTCTCGCAGTAGTGACCGTATGACAGCAAGAAATCGAGATTGAGGATCTGAGACACCCTGTTCTCGAAAATCTGCCTCGGCATACAGAAACCATGTTTCCGCATTGTCTGGCCAATATGGCACGAATTGGATCGTGTTCGAGGTCGGCTTAATACGAATAAGCCTGGGAGTGTCGTCGGACATAAGAAAGTGTAGTAAATGGATGCATAAATGCTATCGAAATGAACACAGTCTACAAATATAAAATGGAACAGGCTCACCAATTCAATATTTGTCGGGATATGTGATCACGTCGGGCTCGCCAATTTAGGATTTGTCTGGTGCGAACTCGACAGACGCAAAAACCAATCACTAATTATTCAGACTTGTTATATACCCACGAATACGAGACCAAGGAAGAACACGATAGCGTAGTCGGATGGAATAGTATATTTGGATGGTTGTGCCAAAATATCGGTGTGTTCCAACTAACTGGCTAGAGAGTCGAATACGAGCAGTGCAACGTAACACGACAGCGTGCCAAATGGTGAGGATGCTTGACCGGGTGCCTTCAGCTTAGCGAGTCCAGTTAAACTATCAAGGTCAGCATCAATGTCGAAAGTCATCAAACCCTAGGCTATTGATTTTGGGGAAGTGTGTGACGCTACAAACCGTTGGATGAATTTTCTGACATTTCAGTGGTAGATTACTTCACCAAACCTTCAACAGCTTCATGCGACCTCACCCGAACTTTCAAACTGTCTTCTCTCCTCCTCTCTGCACAGGGACAACTGAGGCTCAGAAGGCATCCAGAAGTGGTCTACTGAAACCGTTGGAGGACTTATGTTTTAAACATGAAGAATGATTGGTTGTGCTTGAGTTATATCTTCTGGAACATACAAGACCGGTAGAGGACTTGACGACGGCTTACAAAAGCTTCAGCACCCCTAGACACTTACTAAAACCTCATCTGTGGCACCGGTCTCAGGGGACTCACATAGAAAAAAAGCGTAGAACATAGTGGTCCGGATATCGGACAACTTCTATTCCACAACAGTTGCTAAACCGTGTAATGCTCTTCATGAACAAGTGACCCAGGCTACTGAATCCTTTAAACACCAGCTTGATTCTTACTCAAGATGTGAAGGAGATCTGCCCAGAACCAACTGAATTTTGAAATCTCAACCACCACCACTTTGCTCTCTCTTAAGTTGTACATAGGTTGTCTTGTCATAGGAAAAGAAAGGACCCAGTATTGGTATTCCGCATGCTTAACAGTAACTTCTGGACGAATATGTCCTATTTCTTCTCACTACCAAGGGACTTCTATCCTCACGGACACCACAATAAAGTTCAAAATATAGTAGAATCAACTTAGCATGAGTTTACGTTCCTCACATAGAGGGATTAGCTACTGGGACTCCTTACCCGAACAAGTGGAATCAGCCCTTTAAGTGGACCTGTTCAACGAGGAAATATATATTCACACAGAAACCTGCCGCTAGGGTTAGAATGGGCCAGATTAGCTTTCTATCTTTCTCTTCACAGACTGAATCAAGGGATTTTGTTTGAGTGTGTCGGTCCTGAAGTGCGCTAATTTAGTCTAGATGTCTCGCCCGTCTAAAGAGGATTGGGTTTGTAGTGATCCAAGGTGAGATTGTCTGTCTTCGAGAATCATTTTCTAGATGTAAAAATGTTAATTTCGCTAAGAGGGAGAGGTGCAACCGTTGTGATAAGCCTAGAAGACATGGTCCGTCAAGTAAAGCTGGTTTTGAGATTGGCAAGCAGCTTGCTGAGAAGAGCAAAGGGCTTTTCAGTCCAGATGATTGGATATGTAAGACGTAAGTATGCACTTGAGGTCTCTTTGGGCATTCAGAACCAATTCTGTGTCACCCACTCTGCCTTTACTTTGGAAGATAGCTCGAACGCGTTAGCTGACAGTATAATTCCAAACCTACTTTGGAATGTTTAGGTACACGAGACGTAATCGCTTATTGGGGGGCGCAGTATCTTTCTTAAACGACCAGTAGCTTTTTCTTGAAATTCCAAAACCACAGACATCAGATTAAGTGTAAACTGTCTCGATTAGTGTTCAAAATGCACTAAGTGCTGGAAATGAAAACCGGAAGGTTTATTTATCTAGTTGGGATCTGTAAAATGCCAAGTTTTCGCTTAGCCAGTTGTTTTCCGGTATCGTGGGAGCTCTATGTGTCATTCGCAAGTAGTTGCTGATTTTCACTTGAATATTGTTGTGGGTAACTATTTATCTGTATGCAGTCATACCTATATAATAATTTATTTCAAGGCTTCTATATGTCCGGTGTGTAGTACCCTTTTATCTGCTATTTTTTATTGAACTGTCACATTCAAGTACTAATATTCGCTCATCCCGACCGATAGCTGCTACCTTGACGTGGTGGTCGGGCTTGCATATCACAATGACCCAACGAGCTATGCTGGTGGAACGCTTGTTCCCTCGAGGTCCTACCATACCAGAAAGGTCTGTTGGATAGTGGTTAGACGAAAAGCAGTTACCGTTATAGTGTAAATTGCTACACTATGATGGGGGTCTGAGGGCGAAGTCGTACTGCTGCTAGCTGGATGGGGTGTGACAGCAGTAAGGTGTTTCCCTTGGATGACCAGCAGTGCCATGCTGATGCTGCCTTCTCAGTGGAAGGGGGGGTTAGAAAAGGTCGGCCCCAAAAATAACACACTCCACCACGCCCCACGGTCTGCCGGGCCGGCGGTGTTGGTTCACTTGTCGTTTCCTTTCGACCATCCGGCCCCAAAAATACAAAAGTTCAAAATAATCATACTCAAAAGGCTGGGTGTGACAGGCCTCAAGCAGATGTCCGATGGGCTCTGCGGTCACACAAATCTCTTTCAGGTACCTTAAGAAGAAATAGCCTTCCACGGTGTGGGCAGCCGGGAAGTGTCAACCGCCCTCACAACTCTGTCAGCACCCAAGTTTCTTCTGACTGCTATCCTCCTCCTCCATCATTACCTTCTAATCTTCCTTCACGTCTCTTAATTAATGATGCTGCATCATCTTCAATTTCTCCTACCTCTGCAGCCTTCGACAACGATCTGAGTCCACAGAACAGCATCCCTGGTCTCCTTAAACCACGCTCCAAATTACATATTGGAGCCTTCAATGTCCGCACCCTCCGTCAAATTGGCCAACAGGCTTCGTTGGCAAAGACTCTAGCAACTCGGGCATGGATGTGTGCTGTGTTTGTGAGACACGCATACAGGACCCAAGTGTGGTTATTCACCTGACCTCTCCTGACCAATCTGGTGAATCCACAAAATTCACCCTTCGAGTTTCTGGAGGTCTTGCAGGTGTAGGTATAGCATTAAGCACCAGGGCAGAAAACTCACTACTAGACTGGATCCCAGTTGATAGTCGCCTCTGCGCTATGAGGCTGAACGGCACAGTGAGAACTAAAAGGAATAGTGAGACTCGCCGTTGTCTCTTTGTAATCTCTGCTTACGCACCCACTGACTGTAGTTCGGATGAAGTGAAGGACGAGTTCTACCATAAACTGTCTAACCTCCTCTCGAAAGCCAAACGTTCGGACGTAGTGGTTGTTGCAGGTGACCTCAACGCACAGGTGGGTAGACTGAGTGAGGCAGAAAGGCACTTAGGTGGCACTTTCGGAATCCCAGCTGAACGTACAGATAACGGTGATCGCCTATTACAACTATGCTCAGATAACCGCCTATTTTTAGCCAGCACAAATTTCAGACATAAAGAAAGGCACTGTCTGACCTGGCGTCCACCGAGCTCGACTCAGCGATGGACACAGATAGACCACATTGCTATTAGTCATCGCTGGAGAGGATCGGTGGAAGACTGCCGCTCCTTCTGGAGTACGTGTTTGGACAGCGATCATGCGTTGGTCCGAGCACGTATATGCCTGCGTCTCAATGGACGTAGAAAAAATTTGGCAACAAAACCACTACGAGTTCTGCTGGACAACGAAAACACCAAAGCCGTGTTCAGTGAGAAGTTGGCTAGGCAGTTATCGGAACAAAAGACTGTCACTCATCCAGAAGAAGCTTGGTGCCATCTTCAGTCTACTGTAAAAGCAGCACTGGAGACTGTAGCCGACTCCAAGATAATGGCTAAAAAGAGCCAGTGGATATCAGCAGCTTCTTCCAAACTAATGGATGCACGTGAATGCATCCCTGCAGGCTCTGAGTACAATGAAGAGCGAGCGCAACTTAAAAATAACTGACGAAAAGTCTGCGCAACGATCGTGAACAGTGGTGGGCAGCAAAGGCTAAAGAGATGGAAAAGGCAGCGGCGATCGGTAACAGTAGACAGTTATTTAGACTTATTAAGGAGACTGGGGGGAAATGGTCAACAACAGTTAGTGAGGTTATAGCGGAGAAGGACGGATCGGCGATTCACTCGCAGGGAAGGCGACTGGGACGATGGGCAGAACACTTTGAGGAACAGTTTAACTGGCCTCCAGCCACCATTGCGCTGCCCGCTATCCAGTCGGACCCTGAATGGGACATAGAGACAGGTCCCCCAACACTAGAAGAAGTTGAGAAAGCGGTAGGTAGCCTGAAACGGGGAAGGGCAGCAGGACCAGACGGACTACCTGCTGAGGTATACAAGAATGGTGGTAGAGTTCTCTTAGGCTAACGGAAGTGTTAGCCAGTATATGGGAATCAAATACGATCCCCTCCGACTGGTCTAAGTCACTCATCATCCCAGTCTTCAAGAAAGGCGAGAAGTCCTCTTGTGATAACCACAGAGGAATCAGCCTGACAAACATAGTGTCTAAGATCCTAAGTTCTATAATTCTCCGACGCCTGAGTGGAGCTCGGGAACAGCAAGCCCGAGAAAACCAGGCAGGCTTTAGACCTGGCCGTGGATGTATCGACCAAATATTCACACTGCGCCAGGTCCTGGAACATAGGCATGCTTACAGACGCCCGACAATAGCTGTATTTCTCGACCTGAAGGCGGCATTTGACTCCGTTGATCGAGAAGTCTTATGGCAGTGTCTGTCACTGAAAGGCGTGCCTAGTAAGTACATCACCTTATTGAAAGCTCTCTACTCGAACACTTGTGGGCATGTTAGAGCCTATGGTGAGTTGTCCAGGGAGCTATACTCATCAAGTGGTGTCCGTCAAGGATGCCCACTATCCCCATTCTTATTTAATTTTATCATAGATATTCTTATGGAGGTTTCCCTCTCGTCACCTAATTACAAGACGTTGACCCGATCACAGGTGAATTTTCCTTAGATCTAGAATATGCAGATGACATAGTCCTGTTAGGTGAAGACGCTGACAAGATGCAGAGTCTTCTGAACACTTTGAGTGGGAATTTGAGAATGTTTGGGATGCGATTTTCACCACCCAAATGCAAATTTTTGCTCCAGGACTGGTCTTCAGCGGTACCGCGGTTAACAATAGAGAGTGAAGTGGTTGAGTGTGTTGACCACTTCACTTACCTGGGAAGTAGGATCAACCCGGTGGGTTAGTTGCCGATGAGATTTCTGCACGGATACAAAAGGCTCGATTGGCTTTTGCCAATTTGCGCCACCTATGGCGCCGCCGTGATATTCGTTTGTCTATTAAGGGTCGCGTGTACTGCACAGCAGTCCGCTCTGTTCTACTGTATGGCTGTGAAACATGGCCATTGAAAGTGGAAGACATGAGAAGGTTTCAGGTGTTTGACCACCGTTGCCTTCGTAGTATAGGACGTATTCCGTGGTGTCACCATGTGAGTAATGCAGAAGTTAGGTGTAGAGTTTTAGGGAGAAGAGGTAAGTCAGTCGACGAGGTTGTGAACCTTCATCGACTGAGATGGTTGGGACACGTACTACGTATGCCTAGTCACCGATTGCCTCGTCACAGGATGGTGGCTGAGGTGGGTCCAGGCTGGAAAAAGGCTCGAGGTGGCCAGACTAAAACATGGCACCAATGTATGAAGTCTCTGACTGTTGGTTTAAGCCATGTAGGACGATGCAGACTAGGTGGATTGGGTCCACAGGACAAGAGGAACCAGTGGTTTGAAACTCTAGATGATATGGCTGAGAACCGATGTCAGTGGTGCAGATGCATACACACATTATCCTCATCCTACCTACACTATACTGAATCTCACCATTTTGTCACTCTTCCCTTTGTTCTCGTACTTTCTATTTCTTTTGACTGCATTCTCTTACCTTCATCCTTCACCTCACTACCTTTCTACTTGTTGAACTGACGTGAGGTGTGGCAACTCGGACCGTTACTCAGTAAATGCCTGGTCCTATGTTGATATTGATTGAACGTAGGTGCAATTACCATAAGTTTGTAAGTTGGGTCTTGTGTTACTATTGCTTGACACTCAACCAGCCTTACATGAATGTGCACCAGTACCTTTCCTACGTGTAAGTACTGATAACAACAAAGACAAATTGGAAAACACGGTAAAAAGTACTCATAAACGGTTTGTCGATTATCTAGAAAATAAGAGGTTAAATTAGGGGGATAATGTTAACTTGTCGGTCTATTAATGGCTAAGCTGAGGCTTCTTAGCTAGTGGCTGCCAACCAGAACAAAGAAGACTCGAGGATAGTGAATGTCAAAATGTGGATGCCCATACACTAAAGCAAACTCAGAGAACGAAAGTCACTCGACACCATCGTAAAAGATAATTTCTCTATTGTTTATATATTTTATGTGTTTATTTCAAGCCAGCATTATTTTGGTGCCGAAAAGGTGCACTGCAAGTTCTTGAGTTCTCAGATTTGAATAATTATCTAGGAAGTAACAATGTCAAGTGAAAATGGCGAGTAAAGCCGCTTGCTATTTAGAAGAACGTCCCTCTAATAAACACTGCGTCTATGCGGACTCCCGCAACTTCTAGACTCCCAGTGGATAGTGAGTATAATGGTTCGCCTACGTCTTTCACTCAGAGGATTACACCGCCTACGCAGGCGTCGTGAGGCTTTATCGTCAAGACGCGCGATTAGATGATAGCAGCAGCTGCATCTGGCAACAGTTGGGAGCTGTTCCAGCTTACCCAAGCCACTGGCAGCAAAAGGTTTGGTATCAATGAGACAGTCTGTGGTATATAGTACGCCGATAAACAATCTTCTAAGACGCTTGAAACGCTGGGCGGAGCACTTCAAAAAGCAGTTTAGCTGGGCCACAGCTTCAGTGTATCGTGCTCCACGGTCAGTTGACGTTGACCCGCCTAACTGAGCGAAAGTCCATAAGGAGCTTCAAGTTCTGAAACACCACAAGTTACTCTACCCAGAAAGCTCACTCGGTTCTTTTTAAGGATGGTGCAACAACTCTAGTCAGAGAACTGACTAGATTGTTTAAGGTGTGATAGATTGCGTATTCCATCACTCTGGAATGAAGCCATCGTTGTGGCCATCTCTAAAATGGATCTACGTAATGTATGTGACAATCATTGATCTATGTCTGTTGCCAGTCGTGTCGAATGTATTCGCTCCCATCATACTTCGCAGACTTTGAAAACACGTTAGGAAATGATTTGGGGAGGGCAAGTCAGGTTTTGTTCAGGTCGTGGATGCATTGACCATGGGTTTACCCTCTGTTGGATGCTTGAACATCTCCATACCAACAATCATTGTGTTTCTTGACATTAGGGCTGCCTTCGATTCGTTGGACAGCTGTACCCAGGAATTGTCTGTTAGAGGCGTGCCCGAGATATTTCTTAACATCTGATATATATATATATATATATATATACCAGTTTGCGAAACAGACAAGATCATCGTAGAACATCGCACACAAGTGCATAAACCGAAGGTGCGACGCTTCATATACAAAGAACAAGTGGACAGAAAAAGACTGATATCAAAGTAGACAAAGTTGTATGAGAGAATAAACAGTCTAAAAATAACGGTCGGTATAAATATTCAAGCTTTAGAAGAAGTCAAGGAATGAACACATCTGCGCCGTTGTGACCAATTTTCACCCACGTCACCAAGAGCCCTCAACCACTGATTCTTATCCTCTCTGGAACTCTAGCCATATAGTTTACATCTGCATCCGTGACTCATACCATGAATCAAGGACTTCATCGACTGGTGCCACCACTTGGTCTTGCCGCTTTGGGCATTGTGCCAACCTGTAGCATCGCACGTCGAGGTGAGTGGCCGCTCGATATGTGCAACACATCCTCAAGCCAACTCAGTCGCTGAAGGTTCACTATCTCGAGTGACTTCAGTTCTTTACCTAGTACTCTTTGCCTGACCTCATCATTGTTCACACTGATTCCGCCAATCGTGAGCAACGCTACGAAGACACCTGTGATCGAAAACATGTATCTGCTTCATGTCATCTACTTTTAACGGCCATGCTTCACAGCCGTATAGCAGGATTAAACGGACTGCAGCACAGTATACTTGTCCTTTAATAGATAGTCGGATATCTTGTCAATCGGCATCACAGATGATGCAAGTTGACAAGTGCCAAACGGATCTTTTGTATCCTAGTTGAGTTCTCGCCATCAACCAGCCCGGTCTGACTGAGACAACTCCCCAAGTAAGTAAGCACGTATTGCTAGACTAGTGTTTCATAATATGCAACTACAAGTGAATTGATTGCATCTCTATTGTCACAGCTGGCCTGTCAACTAACTTCTGTTTGCCTCGAGTGCAGCTTAGCTCTCCCTAAAGCTCAGTGCATGGAAGACGAAAAAGAAACCAACACGACATTTCGTTATTTAATGAATCAGTGTACTCCCCTTTTAGGTCTGCCACACCTTTTTGGTTAGAGAATGTTTATCAGAAAAGAACGATCAACCTGGAAACTGCCGATTCCCATTGTCACACTGGTCTGATTCGGGATGTCTGTATTAACTTTCTTGGCTCAGACAAACAGTCAAAAACTTCATGCTTTAGTCTGATCGTGCTTGATCTCAAGTCTAAACTCACATTAATGTGCCAAAAGAGTAGACGGAGTCGGTATATGTTACATATGCCCCAACAGCATAAGTCGATAAAGGATTACAATCAAATCAGATGACTTACCTCTCTTACCCAAAACTCTACGCTTGACATCCATGTTAGTGACGTGATTCCACGAACCAGAGTATGCTACAAAGATAATAGTAAGCGAACGCCTGAAATCACACTTCCATCAGTAAGGCCCATCTTGGCTCATATGCTTTTTGTGATCGCTCGACAAAGGGTGGAGATTTTCTGCCCCTCAGATCACCATACATAGTTACCAGTCAAACTTCTCCTTTACTTCAGACCCCACAAGCGTGCTGTCATTCACTTTCTTCGCTGTTAACGAAGTCATATCCTTCTACGATTTGTCAAGTGTAAACCTCGATGTGATATTTAGTAATGTAAGCATCTAGTTTCTGGTTGCAAGCTCAGACGTACTATTTACTTTCGTCATGTCAGTCTGTATTGTCATGTACACATTTCAAGGCTTCACTGTCTCTCAGTAAGATGTCTGACTGTACCTTCGGCAAAACCAGATATTGCATTTACGGTGTTGAGGAACTTTAATCTTGAAGCGCTTCTGAAGTTGTCAACTGGTATCAACTCCGACATCAGCATAAATGTGTTAACTGCACGTCTGTATCGATTCAAATGACCATTGCGTTTGAAAAACGAAATTTCAAGGAAGCAATTATTGAGCAAACTGTCCACATATTGCCTAGTTGAAAAGTTTGAAAGGTCTCATATCAATAAATTATGTTGGCGTTACCATTTGTCACTGTTCACTTCTGATATTTGATTACTATGCCTATTCACATTCACTCACGTTGCAAAGCGACCCTCTTAGATGACTGTATTTTCCGTTTACTGATGCAGGCTTGACAGGTATTCACTAAAAAATATTGAGTGCTTATAGAATACAGAGAGTCTAGTCAGAATATGTTCGAGTAGAATTTGGAGATATTTGCGCTTCAACTAGTTGTCAGCGTAGGTCACCTACAGGTGCGTAAAAAGCTCCGTGAACACAGACCATTTGGGGAAAGACGCTTTGAATATTAACAAGATAGGTGATGATATTCGCACACAGCGGTTCAAGTTGCGACATTGAAAACCAACATACTGAGTTGGAGCTAAAAACTTGCGGAGAAATACTTATTACATTATTAGAAATAGTACAAAGTCGAAAGATGAAGGCGATTGGAAATGAAGAGAGTATGCATACATGTCATTGCAATTGAGGTGAAGATAAGGTATGAGTTCGTCTGCACTACTGTGACTGGTATGCGGCCATACCACATACAGTTTGCAACTAACTACTTGAGTTCAACTGCATAATTCAGCCAGGAAGCCTATGAAGCAACAGTGATCGAATGCCTAAAGTTGTTAACTTAAGTTTCTGTCATTATTTTCCGCGCATAGCATTTTTTCAGATGAGGACTTCATGCATTTCGCTGTAATACATTGTAAAAGCCAATAACTGACTAGTTTGATGATTTTTCACATTTCATTTTTGTACTTTGTTATTGTTCTAAAAACTAGAAATTTTCTGTTCACTTAATAATGTTCATGATTCCAAGGTACAGGGTTTTTTGAAGGTTTCTTTGTAAACATCAACTAATTTTTGAATAACCGTCAATTTAAGGTTTGTTATGCCTTTTTTGGTTTCAAAATACTTTTTAGATGCGGAAATGTAAATTGGGCACGCCGGAGTACGTGCAATGTATGCAATGGCCCAAAGATTGATATACAAGGTGAAAGAACAGGTTATGGTGGAGGATTTATGGAGCGTGATGAGGTAGTTGAGTATCGACAACGTAGAGACTCAGATGACGAATTTGATGAATTTGGTCGTAAGAAAAAAAATTTCCGGAAAGGCCAAAACGAACAACTAAATAATCATGATTCGTCCGATTCCGGTAATAATGTTGCACAAGAAGGCCACAATAAAGATTTGGATGAAGATACCAATAATGGAGTTGATGACAGTGGTGAAGATGATGAGCATGAAGACTCAGGAGATGATGCTGACCTTTCTAAATACGATATTTGGGGTGCAGAAAATGACGATTTGGGTGATGAGTCATCAAACCAGTTGAATCCTGCGTCTGTCCGAAGAACTGCAGAAAACAAACCAAAAAGTCAAAGTCCTTCATCATCCTCGGACTCTGATTCTGATTCATCCTCAACATCATCTTCCAGTCGTGCCTCGCAATCAGATTCATCATCTAGGTAAGAAACAACTGAAAGTTAGTGTTCGATTCTGAATAGAATGTGTTGGTGGGTATGCATTTGAAAATAAGTTGCTGGAGATGTTATGTTTTTATTGTTTTCATTCATACGTTAAAAATCTGGACAAGCATTTACGTATTACTCGTATTCATCATATACTAGCCCTAAAACGCACTGGGTCATTAAATGACTGCTAGGAACTGTCAAGCCCTAATGAATCTGAAGGGTTTCTGCTGGACTCACCGACGTCAGCTATCCGACTTCCAGTAGATTTGATAATGAAAATAAAAGCAACTTAAATTCAGTTACTAGTAATTTGTGTCATGCTTGCGGATAATACTTAATGGTAGAAATAAAAAGACTAGGATAACACTGTAAATCAGGAACAGTTTCTAAGCATTGAATTCTAATAAGAAAACGAACTAACTAGCGCAGGACCTGCCACAGGAGCACATCGGTTCGAAACGAATGGCGGAAAAGTAGACAACATGAAAAAGAAGAATAAATGGACAAGGGTTTGTAACGACCCCAGACTGGCAGTTTAGATCTCACATACATCGCACCAAGTCTTACTTCCTGGACTAGTGCCTTATTCCTTTCCTGGCCTCGTGTAGCCTTCTAACTCAATCATTCTTTGGCTAACACCGCTTGTCGAAGTAAGTGATATGTTGCCACTCACAGTCCATGTCCGAGTTATCTCAGCTGCTTAAGGTCCAGATTATCAACCGGTTTACCTTTTGTTAGGGAGACATCCATCTACGGAATAAATTTTAAAAAAACTGTGTACCCGTCATCACTTACAGTTGGTCCAATAGACAATGAGCCACATCGTTATGAAGGCTGGTAATACTACCTGACTGCCCCAAAACTTGATAGGGCGGACTGGGTTCAAACCTGTGACTCACTGATCAAAAATGGAATATAAATGAGCTAGCCAATTTAGTCTGCGTGGTTAATTTTAATTATAAGTTGTTTGAAATCATATAGAGAGGGTATATTCCTCTTCTCGTTAATCAAAATTCTAGATTTAATTCAATTCCTGAAATAACTTCGTTACTATGGGGAATCAGGGATCTATTCGTACTGCTGGCCGGAAGTCGTGACATCAGTAAGGTGATGCCTGCAGACGACCAGCAGTACTATACTGGTGCTGCCTTAGCTAGTAGAAGGAGAAGTTAGTACCAAGGATCGACCTCAAAAATAACATACTCCCTCCCCTGTGGTATTCCAGTGTCGGCAGTATGGGCCTTTCCTATCCGGCGTTAGCACAATTAAATCTCAACTCAACAATGCTAAAAACACCGTGTGTGCTGGATCTCAACCAGAAGTGTAATGAATTCTGTAGTCACACAAAACTTCCTCTTTCTCTTTACGATACCTTGCAGGTATCCAGGAGGTTTCAACCACCTGCACACTTCCAAAGGTATACAAAACCCAATCGAACATTACCTACCTTCCTGGACTTAGTGTTCTCGCTCGCCTTTACTTTCTGATACCAGTATTTAGCATTGAGACCCGTGTGTGCTGGATTGGAAGATGAAAACGTCAAGTGTGCGAAGCATCTATCTGAAGTTAGCAGAAATTTCTTTCTGATGACGTGTGATGCGATATTTAGTCTGCTTTAGAAACAGCGGTGGACAGTTGGTAATCCACATCCAAAGGTTAACAGGAGCCTGTGGATTTGCGTAGTCCTGTGCCATTAAATGGTATCCTTAGCCTCTTCAGCGTTGTGCAAATGCCATATTACTACTTGCATCTAAAAAATGTCTGTTTGTTACATTTTACTGCAGTATCTTTAACCTTAAAGGAATTATTTCATTTGTTCGTATATTTCAGTTCTCATAGTGAATCATCCTCCAAGCATGAAGATCAACCCAATGGTAAACGGGCCGTTCATCCCAACAAACGTGATGTACACAGTGATGATAGCAGCAACTCAACTCCTGTAAATCAGAAACGGAAAAGGCGTGATGATGAACAACAACGTGATCGGTCGAGGTTCGGTACAGAGAGGAAGACCAATCTCTAATATGATCTCGACACTTGGTGTTGATTATATATATTTAAATATTCCTATTTTGTCTTAAGGGAACTATGTAGTGTGTATATAACAGGTCTATACGAAGTGGATACAAAATCAGGATATTGGGCACTTCATAAAACCACTGAGTGATCTGCATATGCACACTGCATACTTTGTGTAGTTAGTCGATACTGACTCGTGCTTTCCTGAATTAATTTGTCAAAAAGAGATGCTTTAGCAGATTTCTATAGAAATGGGTAATTTCATGTCGACTAACGTCAGGGCATTTAGTTCCAAAGGATGAAACAAGGCCGAATACAGCAGTATAGGCAGTATAGTATGTTAATACTGGATAGTTTAATCAGGGGAGGAAGCCTTTTTTCCACTTGTATTTCCAACAGATAAAGCAAATGTGTGTATGTATGTATGTTCAGTGCAGATTGGATCATGCTTTCATATACCTCTGATTTCTACCTCTAAGTCGTATACACCTAGTGGAAATTCGGTCAACTGTTGATCTTGTTGCCTATTGGCAGGTATAAACGAGGTCTGATTATAAGTGTTTATCTATACACAGATCTTTGTTTGCACCGTTTCTGTTGTTGCTACTGTGTAATTTCTAGTGGTCTATTTCTTCTCGATGCTCTACAGTCTCTTTTTATATTTAGCAATTCAATAAGACCTTTTTTAAATTGCGTGCTTACATTATGGAGACGGTGTGACTGCAACAATTCATGTTTAACGTAAAATTGATGCAACCATTTTAAATAGTCAAGTATCATTTAAAAAAAATACTGTCAATAAAGAAGAATAGTGTCGAATTTCGCTCTCGATTTGTTTTTTGTTAACTGCATAACATCATGATGAGTTATTTCCATTATGAAGAAACTAAACAATCAAAAGTATTGATATTCTTTTTATAGCAAGGAAACTTAAAGGTTTCTATGTTGCTAGATCTATCTTTGAATAGCTGCTTTCAAAGCATTTTGACTAGTGGTAGTGTTATCATTCCATCGGATACGTGAAATGATCTCCCTAAGGTGTTTAGTTCTCCTCTTCAAACAGTAGGGAGTTGAAAGAGTACTTGTTGAGTATACAGTAGCATATCCAGTTAGTATATATGCGCGTATTTTCTTTTTTGTCCAATACAATACTAAACGCAGACTGGTCCTAAAAGTCCTTCATTGTAAAGAAATGAAATTGTACCGTGGTTGACAGACTTACTAGGATTGCCTTATCTATCATCATCTCTAAAAAGATACAATCGATAAATATTGAAGAGTATAGAATGTTGTTTCTTGCCTCTATTCTGTTTGTTGTCTCTGTGCTCATCATTTTTTGTTGTTATTTAATGAATAGTTTGTTCTTATTGTGTGGGTGTATGTGTGAAGCGCTTCTCTTGTTTGTTTTTTTCAATATATTCCCATATTTTTCCTTTATATGAGATGGTGTGTACATGTTATATTGGTGCCTTTTTTAAAAAGCTCATGATGCACAAGATTTAGCTATATGAAGTGTGAAGAGATGGTCAATTGCAAAATTCTAATGTATATAAGTAACACAGACGGTCAAATTTCCCATCACATGAGTACTCCGTCGCACTGTACTATGTTATTGTGTCTAAGCAGTTGGAAAGTAGTGTTTACTACTGGAATATGATGAATGTGATTCTTACAGTTGTTGAGGATTGTAGTGAATAACAGAACCTGATTCAATAGTGAAGTGTTTCAAGTAAACATATTTGTTTGCCTTGTTTTGAAGAAAAACAACCTAAAAGATACAGTACTCATCAGATCATTATTCAGATAGAATTTAAAGTCAACTTTGGAAGTCAGTTTTGTTCATTATCTGGGAGATATCGTCAGTCATCGATTGGATTATCAGCTTAAGTACTCAAATCTTAAAACAATGTCCCGTGTTTGAAACCCACTCCACCTACTTTAGCGTGAGCAACCGTGTAATAGTAGCAGGATAAGTCCATCACACAATGAGCATGGCTCATAGCCAAATGGATAAACATGTTGCGGGTTATGTTACATCAAATTAGTTAAAATTGACCACTGACTTTTCAAAAATATATTATCGATATTTGAACCTGTAGATCCGAATAATTGTATTATTTTATGGATTGTTGATATATGTATGAACCTTGATGATCCAACATAATTACAGCTAATGCTACTCATCAATGGAGAATATGATAATGCACACGAATGACAACCAAGAGAGTTCAGTTATCAGCCTTCGACTAGGGTAGACATTGTCCACTTGTTTATTATAATTGTACTAGCGATATTTCAATGGTAAAATATACCGGTATGTGCATATACAAAATAAGTTATACATCATGTTACCATAAAAAGGTATATTGATGAACTGCAACTCTGAAGATTTTCTTATCGATCACTAGACAATCAGGTAAGTAGAAAACTCAATTCATCCATATGCATCAGACCGAGTTTTGTCGGAACTCTGATAACAAGAAACGGTTTCCTGTGTAGTACACCAGCACCTTGTGTTTCAGTACTAACAACTGCAAGGATTAAAAATTAAAGATCAGCTATTCCGTTGTAGATTAAACTTTGTGAGTACCAACCTAATTTATCCTGTATAATTTTCACTGTACTTTTTCTGTCTAATCATATCGTTATTTGTTTTGTTTCTTTCTATTCTTTCCTGTACCATTAATTTTCAACCGCCATGTCATGCTGTGGGGATGAAAATCTACAAAAATACGATCCACCGACACTGTTTCACCACTAACTAACCCCCCCCCCCCAAAAAAAAAAAACACTATTGTATTGGTCGACCAGGTCACCTTTGTAAAACAAAGTGTATTTCAAACTTTTACTGTGTTTTTAAACCTTCTACTTCTAATGAATATTGTATGGAGATAGAGATGACTGTGGATTTTCACCTGTTCACTCATTATGTTTCCTTTGTAATTTCATCTTCCTTTTTTCTTGTGTATGTTCTTGGTAGGGAATATGTCTACGTGTATGTTGGTGTGTACTAGGCAACCCTTCTCTGTTCATTCAGGACGGTTTTTTTCGGAAAGATCTGAATACAACTTCTAATATCTCTTTCTACCTGGTAATATTAGTCACATTGTCGTATATCCAATGTGTGTACAGCAATTGCAATGTACTTAACCGAGTATTGTATCTCTCTGCCTATATGTATTTATGTATGTATTGATGAATTCAGTGTTTTGTGTCTTTTCATTTCTGCAACTCCGCATTAGATTTGCATAACTGTACAAAAATTCCGACTACTTTTGGGTGCTGATAGACCCTTTCGTATCCGAAATCTGTTGCTCTCAACAAACGTACTACTACTATGTGCTTCATTTCCTGACGATTGGCTGTTGCCTTGGCCTGGTAATCAGGTTCGTATATCACAGTAACCGAACAAGATGTACGGATAACCGTAACATATGGCATTAATTTAAGCTGCCATAAAATAAGTGATATTGACGTAGATAAAGAGTAATAAATAAATAAAGGTCTACAGAATTTCGGATAACGAGATGAGCGTATACAGTAATATTGTGACTGGTATAGGTAAAATCGTGAGCATTTGCCACCATAGTGCGAAGAATTGGTACTTTAGTTAATACAGGATGAAGGCACACTGCTGGCTGGATAGAGATGAGACCATGATTGACTGTCGCTTCTGATTGGTCAGCTTGTCATTTAGTTGGCGAATTAAAAAAGGTCAGATCCCAAGGCTGCGCACTTTGTCGATGGTGATAAAGTTTTATGCGAACTTTCCCAGGAAGGTTGCGTGGCGAACCTCAGACACACATTTTTGGGAACCTGTGGTCATGCGAAAACAACCTGCCATCCGGATCCCTAAAAAGAAGTGATATTTTGTGGTATGGATATCTGAGAGGTCCTGACTGCTCCATGCTCCCACCAGACCGCAGAGCACAACCATGTTTACTGACACTAGCCGGATTTCTTGACATGTAAACTTCCTTTCATCTAATCAGTTTGCAGATATTTTACTTCATTGAAGGTCGTGGGTTCAAACACCGCTCGTTCAGTGACATCTACAACTGGCATTCAACGAAGAAGCATATTTACCCATCTTTAACTTTCTCCAAGAGTCACTCTCTTCTCGCACAGGAATTTGTCTTCTCACGGGAATAGCTTGATAGGTTTTGAGTATGCTGAAGATATCCCAGTTAGGCAAAGATGCTGATACGAGAAAAATACTGTTGCAGCCGAATAAGTGGTTGCATTGTGATGAAACCCGTGTAGAGTTCGTGTACTAGTGATTGTCAAACAGGCAAAACTGCTATCCGGAAAATAATTAAAAGCAAATCAAGCTTGAGCTGTTCCTCATACTTGTTACAACAAGTATGAGGAACAGCTCAAGACTTGAAATCATTTAAGTCGCGGGAGTTTTTCGTGTCATACCAACCTGTTCAGTACATCAAATGGCGTTACGAACAAAGAACATCCCAAAAAACAGAGTGCGGATTAGGAGAAAGGGTTTAATGTGCTGGTGATCTCTAATAGATTGGTAAATTTGGAATGTGGAACGAATCCGGATAACGTACATCGTGAGTATGTGTTATGTCTTACTGTTCACCACGGTCCTCAAAACAAAGAATTTTGGAAAATTTAGGCATTTGGTCACTTTCTGAGTATCGTATGCAAGACAACCGAAGTACTGTAAACTGTAGGTGGGATAGTCGCATATCAAGCCTAGTAGTGCAGAGGAACTCATGCTTTATCTTCACATCACTTGTAGTGTTACGTGTGCGCACTGTCCTCACCATCTTTTTGGCTCCGACTTGTCAATTTTCAATGTGGCAACTGGAACCACTGTAGAAATATCTCAACCTGTTTTGTTGATCTTCAAAGCGTCTTTCCCCAGATGGTCAGTTGAACTCGTGTTTACGGAACTTTATACGCACCTGTAGGTGGCCTATGCTGACAACTAATTGAAACGCAAATATCTTCCAATCCTACTAAAACATTTTTTGACTAGACTCTCTGTATTCTACGAGCACTAGACATTTGTTCATGAATAACTTCTAAGCTTCATTTTCGGTAGGATCGTGGATACACACAGCTGACGAGTCCCGTGCTAGGACAGAACATATCCAGTGGTCCTGCTACTGATCTCAGTTTTTGATGAGCGCTAACTTGAAACCCATCAGTCCGCATAAACCTCCTAATTGAAATATTAAGACCAAGGTTTAATTGAAGCTTAACAGTCAAGTTTGCTTGAATAAAAATGGTTCTTGGTGTAAACACATAGACGAAAGTATTCGTTAAAGTATAAAGTCAGTGGTTTTTAAAAAACAAAAAAAGCACAACATTAAGTTTCGTCTTCGATGAAAGGTAAATGAGAGTGATCTGCATTGTCATAGTTATGTTATTATAGAGAATAGTAGCATCTTTAAGTTTCTACTTTTCTAAAAATACAAAATTAGTTGGTTAGTTACCATAAAATTAAGTGTACGAGACTCGAGGATATGATGTAAACTGAACCATATTTTTAACGCTGATTTATACTTGAACTTTGATGATAGATTTTTGCAGGTTTAGTGGATAAATATTATTTCGCCAAATTAGTTAACATTATATACAACTTTCCCAGTATCTCTTTTGCACATTTATGATCTAGCCTTTCTATTGGGTGTGATCTCAAGGTTATTTGGTGTGTGTGAATAGTCTAGTGTTCGTTGATTGGTTGATTTCGCTGAATATCTTTTTGATTCACTAAATTACATGGTAAAGCTGAAGGTTGTACATACTTTTAATTCAGATGAAATACGATAGGGTGTAATGTTATTTCGTTAGCACTTCAAATAAACTGAATTTTGATATATATGATAGTGGACGATAAAAAATGCCAACTTTGAAAGCGTTAACATTCAAAAAAACCTCAGTTTTCATATTTTATATTCACGTTTGACACTATGATCATCATTCTTATAAATCATTATCTTCATCATTATAGTGTATAATCTCTATACTTCCTCTACGAACTGATGAAGTTGTAGGAGCAACATGATTATATTGGTTAACATAGGTTTGATCAGACTTGCGAGTATGCTGTGAAAACGTTGTTGTACTAATTGGTTCAGATATATTAGAGATTGGAATGATTCGATCTCGGTTAATTGCCAGTTCACTGTCACTTTCACAGTCCACTGACTTCCGCTTTGATACATAAATAATTCGAGGAGTTTGTGAATTTGTTGTATGTCTACTAGTACTATCATTGTCATAGCATTTTGGTGACTGTCTAGAAGATATTGTTCTCCAGTCAGGTTGATTAGCATCGATTATTCGACCATGGTAAGTGTCATGACCTCGACCTATTTGTGAAAGTTCTGATGAAATAACTCGATACGGTTTTTCTCTATAGATTGTTGGTGTCTTGTAATTAGATCGATTCTCCAGCGTCAATTGTCTTGATGCACCGACCAGTGTTTCTGTACTACCAGTAGGCGTTTTTTCGAGATTCAGTCCACGATAATGTTGTGAATTCTTGTTAGTGTTATAATAATTCTTCTGGTTGATTTTGATTTGATTCTGTTGGAATGCATTCTCTGATTGGTAGAAATCATGACTGTGACGATCAGTCTGTAGAAAAAAAATTGTAACAAAAAGATAATCATTGAACAAAATATGTTAAGTTCGCACACAGTGGAGGACAGATTGTATTACTCATAAACTCTTTATTGAGAAACTGTAAAACACTCCGTATGTTTTAGTCCATATCATGAAAGAACTCATACCAGTGGTAAGAATTGCTGAGTCACTGTGGCTAACTACTGGTAACTGATTAGTTCTTGGTTATGTTACATAAGAGTAGATACTTGTACAATGTACTTCAGATTTCACCCTAGACTGTTGTTCAGTCCCTCAGCAAATAGAAAAGCGATAATGTACAAAAACCGTATTGCAACGTCAAAATATGCACGAAATACAATAATTTACATATATTTACAATAACCTTAACTATTTTCCTCCTTCCTCGAAGCAGCATGATTGGTAGTAAAAAGCTTCGAGGATTTGCAGCCTTTAATGAGGATATGGACAATCTTTTCACCCAATATACCAGTAGCCAACAATACACCAGATGGAAGTTTGTGTCTGAATCCTGGATGTTGTCAGCCAACCATCAGGAAGTCCGGAATAAACTTGGGCCAGTGCTTGTGGACTAAAATGTATCTTGAGGAAATTCATGTTCCCGTGGAGAATGGAACTTACACCAGCCAGTGGTAAAGTTAAAAATCTTACCACTAAGTCATTCAGGTTATAACTGAATCTGTGTCGGACGGTACAACACACCCCGTGTAAGTAAATGGTCGTCAATATCTAGAGTTGCGTAATATTGATCAGTCTCTTATTGGACAGCTATTCATTGGCAGCGACTTAGAGAAAATCTTTTATATGAATTACCAACGGTGAGATTGTCGGGTTTTACCCAGGTTATCTTGGAAATAGCTGCTTAGTCATTAAACGTTCTCGTTTACGCAGTGATGTTACCTTCGTACCCTTTTTATACTACTTAGTATTATTGAGTATTATTATTATTATTATTATTATTATTATTATTATTATTATTAGTCCCTTGGGTTCCTAGTGGAACATAGGGCTTCAGTAGCACGCCTCCAGTACACTCTGTTCTCTGAGATCTTTTGAACCTGGTCCCACGACAGCCCAGAAGCTCTCATTTCCTCCTCGCACGACCTCCTCCATGTCACCCTCGGACGTCCAACTCGTCGCTTCCCATGGGGATTCCACTCGAGGGCCTGACGCGTGATGTCCTCAGTCGGCCTTCTCAGTGCATGGCCAATCCATCTCCACTTCTTCCTGCATATTTGTTGCGTGATAGGTTCTTGGTTGGTTCGTTCCCAGAGTTCCTTGTTGCTTATTTTTTCTGGCCATCTGATCTTCAGTAGCGAGCAGCGTAAGCAGTTGTTGATGAATGTCTGTAGTTTATTGGAAATGCCTTTCGTGACGCGCCAAGTCTCTGAGCCATACAAGAGCACTGACTTGACGTTGGTGTTGAAAATCCGTATCTTGTTCCGCATGCTGAGTGCAGGAGATCTCCACACTGGTTTCAGGCTAATGAACGCCTGTCTTGCTTTTCCGATTCTGACTTTGACGTCCTCGTCCGTCCCGCCTGTAGTTGAAACAGTGCTTCCTAGATAAGTGAAGGAGGTTACTTCCTTCAAGTTTCTCCCGTTGACGGTGATTGGAGTTTGTTGTTGTTGTTGATGGTGGTGGTGCGGTATCTTCATCACTTCTGTCTTCTCTATATTCACCTGAAGTCCCGTCTTAGCTGCCTCTTCTATCAACTTGTTAGTTTTTGCCTGCAGATCTTCAAGTTTGTGTGACATTAGGCATAAGTCATCGGCGAAATCCAAGTCTTCTAGGTTCTTTTCCGTCGTCCAGTGTATCCCCCTCTTCTCGCTGCCTACTGTTTGCTGCATGATCCAGTCCACCACAATCAAGAATATCATGGGGGATAGTAGGCAACCTTGTTTCACTCCTGTCTTCACTTCAAAGGCATCACTGAGCTTCCCATTGTGGATTACTTGGCATGTGGCATCTTCATATAGTTGTTGAATGAGGCGGATAAAGGTTTGCGGTACTCCGTAGTATTGAAGCAGTTTCCAAATTACTTCTCGGTCGACGCTGTCAAAGGCCTTCTCAAAGTCGATGAAGTTGAGGCAGAGAGCTGATTGCCATTCTATGCTCTGTTCTATGATGATACGAAGCGTTGCAATTTGGTCTGCACATGATTTGTACTTCCTGAAGCCTGCCTGTTCCGGTCGCAGTTTTGAATCCAGTGCGTCTTTAAGCCTCTCCAGGATGATGCGGCTTAATATTTTACTTGGGGTGGACAGGAGAGTGATTCCGCGCCAGTTCTTGCAAGCACTGAGGTCTCCCTTCTTCGGCAGTTTGACAAGGTAACCCTTCTTCCAATCGTCAGGTACCTTCTCTTCCTTCCACACCTTCTGCAATAGTGGTGTGAGCATGTCCGCTGTTGTCTCTGCATCTGTTCTCAGTGCTTCTGGCGGTATCCCATCTGGTCCTGCTGCTTTCCCGCATTTCAGTAGCTTTATGGCGTTCAGGACTTCCATTTTCGTTGGGGGATTAATGTTCACTTGTAATTCAGCGGCTGCAGGTGGTATTTCTGGACGAAGTGCAGGTGGTGGTGGTCGATTCAAGAGCTTCTTGAAGTGGTCGGCCCATCGTTTCCTCTGTTTCTCTTCTTTTGTAATTAAATTTCCTTCTTCATCTTTTATTGGTTTCATCTGTGTTGGTCTCTTCCCTGATAGCAACCTGGTTATTTGATACAATGTCGTCAGGTCTCTGTCTCTCCTACCTGCAGCCTGTTCTGCTTCACTTGCCAGTGTTTCGTAGAAGTGTCTTTTGTCTTTGCGTGCACTCTTCTTCACTTCTTTGTCCAGTGCTTTATACATTGTGCTCAGTTCCTCTTGTCGTTGAGCATCCTTGCACTGGTTTATCTTCTGCTTCACCATCCTCCTCTCCTCTATCAGCTTCCAGGTATCCGTCGAGATCCATTCCTTGTCTTCTTTCTTCTTCCTTCCTAATACTGTTGTGCAGGTTTCTTTCCACATAGCTTTCAAAGACTTCCAGTGTTCTTCCACACAGGTTTCTTCAGGGATGTTCCTCGATGTCTCCCATTTTGTCTTGATGGCTGCCTCTGAAGATCTCCTTTGTAGTTTCATCCTTCAGTTTCCGAGTGTTGTACTTGAATTGAGGTCTATCACCAGCTTCCTTGAAGGCTTTTAACTTGATTTGGAAGGTTCCTTGCACTAGAAGTTAGTGGTCTGAACCTACATCTGCTCCTCTTCTTGACCTTGTGTTAAGTAGGCTGCGTCTCCATTTTCTTGAGATTGAGATAAAGTCGATTTGATTTTTAGTGTGTCCATCTGGTGAAATCCATGTCGCTTTGTGGATATCTTTGTGCCTGAACACACTGCCTCCAATCACCAAATCGTTGAATGCACAGAATTCTGCAAACAATTCTCCATTCTCATTCATTTCACCTAGCGCCTCTCGACCCATGGTTAGTTCTCTTCCCGTGTTGTCCCCTCCCAGTTTGGCATTCATGTCTCCCCCATTAGAATTTTGATATCGCCAACTGACGTCTTGTCCAGTGTTGATTGGAGTTGTCTGTAGAAATCCTCCTTTTTCTCTTGCTCTGCATTATTTGTAGGTGCATAACATTGTATGATTGTGACCTTTCTTCCTTTTGAGTTGAATCTTGCTGTCATGATCCTGGAGGAGATTGGTTCCCACTGCATGAGAGCCTTCGATGCTCTTGAGGACATCATGATAGCCACTCCCTCAGTGTGCTCGTGGTTGGCGTCTGGGTGACCGGAGTAGATTATTGATTCTCCAGTTGACAGTTTGGAGAGTCCACTCCCATTCCATCTGCTTTCGCAAATCCCAAGCACTTCGATGTTATACCTTCTCATCTCGTTTGCAATCTGGGCTGCCTTACTGGGTTCAAACATCGTGCGGACATTCCATGTCCCCAACTTTACTTTCGCTTTCATCGAGAGAAGACACATCGGCCAATTGGCTTCCCGAAGGCTTTCACCAACTGGCGTCATTTCGCCTCTCCGATTCCAGCGGGGAATGAGTTTGTTTTCATTTTTTATATTTTGTTTGTGCTTTGAAGTTTCTTTAGCGGTTAGATTTGTTTTACGGGGTAGGGTTGCTAGCCCTATGCCCAACCTTCCCTCTTTACCCGGGCTTAGGACCGGCTAGTAACTAGTAAACTAGTTAACAAAGGCGAGGTAGTATAATTCATTTTTATTAAAATGTAACTTCGTTAACAACTGTTACAATTGTAACATGTTGATCATCATAACAACCTGAGATATTAGTATCTTTCTTAATTCATATTTCTGCTGAGCTACCTTCCACTGTCCCCTGAATCAATCAATATCTTACCTTTGTCTTGTGTACTTCACCTCGTTGTAGAAAATACGCGCGCTTTAAATATTTTTCTCTGATTCGCATTGAACACACAGCTTTGCTGTCTATATTGTCGACACATTTCCTATGAGTTACTTTTGATGGTGATAAACATATAGATACCTAGAGACTTGAGAACTATATCTCAGATAAATCATATTTTTTAGACTTCACGTGTAACCTGAGCGTTTAGTTTACTTGTTGAAGAAACAAATTTAAATGGCTATGCTTATATTCTTTGGTTAGAAGTAGTTGTTTGTAAGTCAGTTCTTCTCATCCACAACTATATATAACTCCACATGAACTAATGTTCACTGAGAGATTCAGACCAACGTCATTTATATAATTAACGATTAATACTGAAAAAAAGACTTCTACTACACTAGAAAGTGAACAGAGAACCGTAAAGCATGTTGTGGTGACTGGTCGATTAGTCAAATCTTATTATTTTCCCTTACTGATCGAACTCAATCCATGTTAAAGTCGATTAAATTTGATCCTCCATAGTGCCATTTATATGTCTAATAGTTTGCAAGTAACACAGTTGTACCACTGTAATGAATTTATTATTAGCAACACGTCTCCAATGCGGTCTGTTCTCTGAAATGTTTTGAACCTGGCTCCAGGACAGCCCACAACCTCTCATTTCCTCCTCACACGATCTCCTCCATGTCACCCTCTGCTCAGACACCCAACTCGTCGTTTCCCATGGGGATTCCACTCAAGGGCCTGGCCTGACTTGTAATGTCACCAGTCGGCCTTCTCAGTGTATGCCCAATCCATCTCCACTTACACTTACACTTCCTTCTACTGCATATTTGTTGGGTGATAGGTTCTTGGTTGGTTGGTTGGCAGCCAGCCAGCTAGTGTTCCTTGTTGCTTATTCTTATCATTCTGCCCATATGAGCTTCAGTAACGAGCCAGCGTAGGCAGTTGTTGGTGAATATCTGTAGTTTGTTGGAAGTGTTTTTCGTAACGCGCCAAGTCTCTGAACCATACAGAAGCATTGACTTGACTGACGTTGATGTTTAAAATCCGGATCTTGTTCCACATGCTGAGTGCGGTGCAGAAGATCTCCACACTGGTTTCAGGTTAATGAACGTCTGTTTTGCTATCTTTCCGATCCTGGCTATGACGTCCTCATCTATGCCTGTGTGGCATGTAGTTAAAGCGATGCCGCCTAGATAGATGAGAGACGCTACTTCTTTTAGGTTTCTTCCGTTGATGGAGATTGTAATGAATAGGTAACCAGATTTAAATCTGAAAAGCAGCCTGCTAAGTGAATTTCTTACTTCTCTTGTAATTTGTTCTTGATTATGCTATTTTCTATAGAAATCAAGAAAGTTAACTGATTGATTCAAGCAGACTATATCATTCAACTCTAACGACTTGTTGCTTGTGAAGAAGAATCTTCATGCACTTCGTTATATTAGTTTTAGAAACTTCGAGTGTTGTATCGGGTGAAAAGTGGAATCAATGATAACTGTCACTTGCCATATTATTTTATTTATTATAAAATCTGTTTTACTTATGACTTGATTGATGATATTATTGTATAGATCGGTTCAAGAGCTTTCGATCAACCCCTTCTTCACTTATGTATGACTTATAGTTAGGAAATAATTTCTGGTTGAGTGAAATCCATCCATTATTGTTCACTATCCCATTTTTCGTGCTTGGAATTGGTTGTTTCATCTTCATATATTATGGTGCATTGCGGTCAAGCAATTCCGTTGTACACATACAGATGAATCAGATCGCCTGAAAGAGACGGACAATACGTACCAGACTCTGTATTCTCCTTTAAGTGGTTAGGTGGACCGAATCGCGTGACTCATTATGTGGGTGGACTGGAAATACGGGACTAATCATGTGCTGAAGACAAACGCAACCAGCCTAAGTTATAACAGCAACTTATGTTCGTAGGCAACCATCAGAAATTTCTCTCTAATGTCATGCAGCCATCAAAGGAGAACTCTGAAGGTCAAGTCGCTGTATTCGAGCATCTTTTCACATCTTGGCAACGAATACTGCATCCAATTCTTCAAGTATTGATGTCTGACAATTCTGTGAAGATCAAGACAGCCATGAAAAACTGTTTTTAATTAAGTGATGGAAAGAATAATTGAAATCAGTTAGTTATCAAATCATCTGGTGAAATTCCGTTTTAAATTTGATATATGCTGTAAATAAGCTGATCTAGTTGAAAATTAAACTCTGTCAGTATTTAGATTTAACTTTCATACAGAGATTACAACCCTGATTACATCTACTACCCTAAGTTTATTTCCTGTCAGTGTTAAGTGAATAAGCTGAATCTTGAAAAGTTGATAAAATGTGGCAGATAGAATGATACTACTTGTAAGTATAAGTAGTGTAAATATAAATCGCAAAGTATCAGAGGATTAAAATGACATACCTTAATGATGTCCCAGTTTTCGTTGTCCGCATTGTTTCCATTGTTGCTAAACTCTTCCTGTCACCTATAGTTCCTGCTGTCTGATTCAATTCATTTTTATGAGCTGAACTGCAGGCATCTGGTGCATCAAACATGTCATGTACACCGTTGAAATGTCCATCATTTGAGTTCAGACGAGATAATTCATCATATACATTCTCTCCATCGAATTGATTATGATTATTAATAATATCTTTATCCATCCCATTCAATTCTTCATCTACTGATAAACTAAGATTAACTTTTTTACCGTTTTTTCTCTGTCTACTAAATGCACTCAAATGTGGTAAACGTTTTCGTGCTGTTGTTTTCATCAATTTATGAACTTTTGAAGTATTTTCACGTTGTTGACTAGTTGTAGAATATGGTAATGGAGTGCAACTAACTAATTCAATACCTGGATCATCAAGACTCTTTTTGCGTATTAATGGTGATGGTTCATAATTCGCTGGATAAGAGGCTAAGGAGGATGAAGAAGATGGACTGATAGTTCGTGATAATATTGGTGATCTAATTCCACCAGTATAAATAGAATAATTATTTTCTTCTATATCATTATTGAATGCTTTTGATAAACGATTTCTATCTGGAGCTACAACTTGATCAAGAAATAGTACAGTTCGTTGATTACTATTTAAAATTTCATTTTCACTATCTGAATTATCTACATTGATTTGTGAAAATCGACTTGTTGACATTCTTCTACGCCTAATATCTGGAGAAGATCGTAAATTGACCAATGAAATACTTGTAGACAAATCATTTTCATAATTTCCATCATCATTCACTAGATTTAAATTAGAATTTACTCGAGGATTTGATCGAAGAATCGATTTTCTTGGTACTTGTGTTCGAAAGTTCTATAAAGTAAATATAAATAAAAATTGAATAATGATCAAAGGTTGCTGATAAGATTCGATATAAGTAGTATATGTTGAGAGGGTAGCAAAAATCATAGGGAATTACCAGTAATGAGTAAGGATTACGGCAACAGAAACACAAGAGACAAGGCAGGTGTATGAAGAGCAAATCAAGAAAGAAGCAGAAAAGGAAATGAAGCACATTTTGCAAATGACAGTTTTAGTGCAAGGTGTACCATATTTAACGACTACCGTCCCACTTGTTGAGAATAATCATTTCCTCCTTCATAACTGTCATTGTGCCACTTTCAACTGGTGTCGATGTTTTTGGACGTGATGAAGGATCCGTGGCCTGCAGAGTTCGAGGATGGTGACATCAAGGTCTTTCTCAGGTTGCATCTTGTGATCTTAGCTGATGGATCCACTCTGTTGACAGCATAGTTGGGCAGTCGAAAAACTACCCAACTATGCGGAACGTCGACATCATTAACGAATTGATCATTCTACACCTTGGAAACATTTTCAGTGAATCAGTACGCTTTCATAAGCATCAACAAGACTTATTTCTAACATGTTGTTTTTCACTTATAAGATGCCTCATTTGAGTAATAAATATTTCATGCTTCATTCTAATGCTTGTAAAAGACATTTCAGTAATAATATGGTGACCTTAATATTGGTAAATATTTCTGCTAGATAGTTAAGTCCTTTTAGAAGTATTTTGTCAGTTGCTTTTCCTATAAGTTATTTAGTCTGTCTACAAAATATCGAATTTTCTTCCACCGTAGAATTTCCTCCTTCACACATTCGCATATGGTACGTGATATACTCGTCATCATCTCAATAAAAACTCTATTGAAGTTGAATTTGACTGGTTCATTTATTTCAAACATAAGAAACTTTTTACTGATATACCTGTAACTCTCCGTTGTTTTAATGGATTGAATTTTTCGACCTCCATTGCCACATAGGTACCTATGTAGATGCCTCGATGTTGCCTGCATGTTGATTTTGATAATGTGCTTAGTTGTGGTTAGCAGTAAAAAACTAGTACGCACTTCACATCCTACCTAGGACTCATCAGCTGGGCGAACCTGCACCCAGTGAGTGATGCAGTTCCCACCGAGACTCCAACCTCGTACACATCGCCTCAAACGCCAAGGCCTCTATCCATCATACCACGGATGGACGACAGCTACTCCTTGTAGACGGGTCTTGGTATACTTGTAATTCTTCGTTGTTTTATTGCATCGAATTGCAAGCAAATTATCTTAATTAACATTCAGACAATTTTAAGGTTTCCGCATAGATGCCCATGTGCCAACAGAAGTCGAAGAATTCGATCTAGTGAAACAACAGCAGAATTACAAGTAAATCAATGAATAGTAATAACTAATACCCGTTGCATAAGAAGTGGCTATCGTGCCTCTACGGCATAGTGAATACAACCCTTGGCGTTTGAAGCGATGAGTATGAAGTTTGTGCCTCCGTGGGAACCACATCACTCACTGGGGTGCAGGTACATCTAGCTGACGAGTCCTGAGTAGGACGAAAAGCGCGTCCTGGATTCTTCTGCTAACCACAACCAAGCAAATTATTACAAGGAACTTTATTCTGATTGGTTTATTTAAGCAGGTTAAATTTAACTTGTTCACCAGTTGATTAGTAGTTGTCTAAACATGTAAGTACATTCATTTCCTGGTGTCTAAAGTTTTCCGACTCCTACCCACATATTAGTGCATTCCAGTTGAAACCCCCACTAGGGCAGGTTATGCTAGCTGAAGTAAGAGTAATCTACAAGAAACGTCAGAGTGGTATTATATCTTAGGAGTCGGTTGACAGAAGGCCCTGCTCGACCTAAGTTTTGCGCTTGTTGCCATCCATTAACATGGCTAATCTGCATCTATAATGAATCAGGTTTCAATCGTCGAAGGAAAGTTATTTTCCTCATGGTTGCCTGAAGCTGAGATCGACCGGGGCCTCCTGTTGATTTCCTTGAAACGACCAAGGTCAAAATACAATTCACTGTAGAATCGCATCACGGATCATATTGTAAGCTTAGCCAACAAACTACAGTTGGTGCTAATCCCTAGGGTATTAGCCGAGTCTTCTGTCCAAACTTTAATATGCTGAAGTTATTGAGGAATTTTCTTGTTCTTAACATTGTTCCGAATGTTTTTAGCCCATGATGTGGATGTTCACAGTGTATTGTTCTCTGAGATAGTGTTCTCGTTGGCTAACGTTTATGATGTAATGCTAGACATCGTCACCAGTGCATTAGAACTTCACAAGGAAGCGAAATAATTGGTTGTTTATGAATATTTATTACGCGCTCACTGGTTACTTCGTGTATGTATGGGTATACACTGGATCTGATTAGTTAGCTTCCTGCCTCTAGTCCTCTCAAAAGTATGGATAACTAGGCAACTGGTATTCAGGAGATCACAGTTACGTAGTCGTATCAAATTCATGCATCATTTTTGCTTTTATTTTCGCCTGAAACGTCACTTCAAATTATTTTTTCTAACGTTTTGTCCATTTACCGCTTCAGGCTAGTTGAGAACTACTAGCCTATTATTTTCAATTGCCTAATTTGTAGGTTCATCTGAGTTTCGTCATCATCCCCTCCTCAAAATCACCTCTCATAATCCATTGAGGTTTCAATCAGTTATTCTATAGTGACTGCAAGGGCCATCAAAACAACAGTGTAAATAACCAGTTGAGTTCCTGCATTTTTTCTGGAAAGGTATACTTTCTGCGTAAACTAAAGAAACCCAATCGATTGAATAATTGAATAACCACTATGTTGGCCTTTAGAGTCACTCTTTTCTATGTACCTTCCTGTCTAACTACAGCCATATTCATATATGCTTCTAATAACTTGTGAGCTACTGACTAAGACGAAAAATTCGCAACTCATTTACGAGTTGTTTGCAGCTAATGCGTTTATACAGCTAGGTAACTTGGAAACGACACAAAATGAACAACGAATATGCAACACGGACATTTAAGCCACAAAATTAAGGGATGCGATTTTATAGTTACGTAGATTTTTCATATTGTTCAGTTCTGAGTGCTGATCTATTTCTACCGCTTGTCTCGTAACACGACCAACAAACTGGGAGACACAGTATCACGTTGCACTTTGATATCTGCTAGTTGGTTCGCGCTGACTCTAACTCAGCACCATTCGCTAAGCCATTAGAACACCAAAGCGTCCTGGAGTTAGCTGAAAGCCACCACCAAGCAATATCGAGGTATCCACCCTACGAGCCCATATGCCAAAAGAGGTCAATCACTTCATTCCAGAATAACAATGGGAAATTACTAGTTTCAATAAATAATATTCAACGCTCATTTCGAACTATCTGATCACACACGTACTTATCATAGGTATTTATGTAAGAACTCATGAAGATAAAGGGTGAGAAACCACGAAGCCCGTATATTCCCCCAAACGACAGTGTCACATCCCATTGTATCTACCAATTCAAATGTACGTGTAGTGACACATACATAGGGAGGACTAATAGATCCATGCAAGTAAGGGCCTCGGAACATATTCCATAGTGGCTTCAGAAGCAAATCAAATCACCTGAACCTATAAATGTTGGTAGCAGACGTCCAAGTTCTTCGATCGCCAAACATATCGTTGAGACAGGCCACAGGATTGATATGGCTACTTCCTTTACACCTATTTACAAAACATGTTGGGGAGGGATCCTGAAATTTGTTGAAGCCTTAGCTATTAGAAAGTTGGAACCAACTTTGTGTGTTCATAAACAGTTTGTTGTCATATTAAATCTTCTTTGGTAAATTCAAATATTGAAAACCAAGTTCGATGTACTATTCTTTTTTCGCTTTATTGATTTTCATTGCTAATCGGCCTTTAAGTCAGCCTTCCTACCTGACCTCTTCTTATTTTCTCACTCCTTATCTTCATGAGTTTTTATATAAATACCTTTGACAAATACGTGTGTGATCAGATAGTTCGAAATGTGCTGCGCAAATACATTACACGGTCCAGACAATTTACGTCTTCTTATTGTTTTGTCGAAGTTTATAAAGGGAACTAATTGTTTTAAATTCAAAGCTCAGTTATGCTATATTTAACTGTACTGACTACCAAATGATGAATCAACCAATCAAATTCATAGATTTTACACATGACCTTGAAGCATTGATTTTCGTGTGTATTTCTTCATTTAGGACTGGGATTAAATTATGCCTTTCAAAGCACATCTTGAATGATGCCAGAAAATATACATTTATCGTTTTATTTTATTTGGGGGGTAAAATAAATGAAAAACGTGTTCGGTGTATATAAATAACAAAAATAAAATAATCATTGCATCAACTATAACTGATATCATACCAACAATCTTGAATATATGCAGGTAGACAACTACACACAAATAGACTGATTGAAATGAATTTAAAAAATAAACTGTGAATTATGAAAGTGAACACCTGAAGAATACCTACTTACTTATATCAGACCTTATTAGAGGACATCTACTGAAATTCCTGGGAGTAAAATAAAACCACTAGAATTAGTGGTATTGCTTTATAAGGGAAATACAAAGCAATAAAATGAAGGAGAATATTTGTAGCTCAGGTGGATGGTCTTGGTTGTATTGTGTTCTCTGAGCTGGGTTGTTTCAACGTGGAACTTCCGTCGTCTTCCTAAACGATATCATCAGAACTAACCCCATTATAGAGTGAGGTATGAATATCTCCCTATCAGCGATTTATTAGCTTGTCGTGATCAACTGTTTTGTGATTGGTTGTTTCCCTTGGTCGTTCTATCATTGACTGTATAGGTTTTCCTGTTGACTGTCCCTCTCCTCTTCTTGACCCCTGACCTTTCCGTCGTTTATCATTTTTCTTATTGGTTGATAGATTGGATCTATCATGTCTATACATCTATTGATTGCTGACTGATTGACGTGAATGCCAAACTTCTAGGAGTTCTCTGATATTCTTTGTGACAAATGACA